GGTAGGCTGCACCAAGCCTTAATTACTTTAAATTTTTTCACTTGTGATGCTGATGGAAAGACACCTATGGAGCTACATTGGTGTCAGAATAAAACAAAAGAAAATGGTCTAGTTAAATGGAAGGATCCCGAATCTGGTTTATGGAAGGGACCTGACCCATTATTAACCTTTGGCAGAGGGTACGCTTGTATATTCCCAGAGAATTTTTCCAAACCCATATGGATTCCTGCTAGAAATATTAAACTGCATCAGGGATCCAAGAGAGAATCTAGCCAGACTGAGGACCTTGCACCTGGAGCCACAGCATGCAGCTGCAGGCAATCAACCATCTCAGCCACAGAGAGCAGCGACTCCAAGCAGTCCACTGAAGATGAGGAGCAGGAGGAGGACAAGCCAGACAACCAACAGCCCAGAGACCACCTGGGGCACGGTAAAGTGAAGTATGGTAACAATTATTTCAGGTAAAAACTATAAGTTTCATACTGGTCTTAGAAGGCACATTTTTCCTTTACCTGGGAAGGACAGCACAGCTATCCCAAGGTCAGAGGGCTCCAGTTAACATGTCAACTCAGTGTTCTGGAGACCCAAAACTGTAATTTAGATAAAGTGCCTAAGTTTAACCCAGGTCACTCAAGGGTTCTAGACCCAAAACTGTAATTTAGATAACATGCCTAAGTTTAACCTAGGTTACCCAAGGACTCTAGATAATGTGTTTACCCAAAACTATAATTTGGATAGCATGCTGTCTCTGCTTCTGTAAATTCCTTTTTTTTTTTTTTTTTTTTTGCAAACTAGGTTCCTCATTTCAAACCTTGAGACAGCCAGTTTAAAAATTGAATTGTCATGACCTAGAGCAAAGAATATTCTTACATGGTATTATTCTACAAGTTTCATTAATAATTTTTGATGCTTTACAACAGTATATTGTGCATTTATCCCAAACAAACTTACAAACTAATTCTTTGAATGTTTGGCAGCAACTTAATAAGGACATGAAAGGATTTATTCCCTTCCACTGTAAGGAAGGCCCCCTGGGAAGGCACTTAAGCATTCTGTATTGACCTCTCTTGACCTTTTTGCCAAGAGGATTCCCTCTTCTCACAATCCAATTGCCTACAGCTGTTGCCTGAGTTCTCCGTTCAAGCTGAGGTCATGGTGGCTGGTACCATGGATCTGTCTCTTGCCCAATGGTGTGAGCTGGGCCCTCTCTGGAGAAGAAACCTGGGTTCCCCATGATCAATGCCGGGGCCCCGCCAGCAGGAGAGGGGATCCAAAGGCAGTTGCTGGGCGTGGAGGCCACAGGGGCATAGGTTAACAAGGAGACAGAACTGAACCTCACATCACCCTGCCTGGCCCAGGAGGATGGCTGGTTAGTCAATGACGGGTAAGATTCCTCAGGGAGAAATGACCTAAGACAGGCACAGTCGAGGGGCCAGTAGAAGAGAACTTGGGGTTCAACAGAGGTGGAGCACAGATCCTCACCCCCCAAATTGTGCAGGGGCTTGAACACTCGCCCCTTCTGAGGAAGGTCTCCTGCCCCCATGGCTGCTTCTCACTTCCCATGCCTAGCTGATATCGGGAACCAAATAACAAGAGACTTGGTCCAGCTGAGATCAGTACCCAGATAAACGGAGGCTTGGCTAACAGACCCTATATCTAAATCTAGCCTAACAACAGGAATGCTCAGGGCCTTCTCAAGGATGGAAAATAATCCTTTCCATTAATATTTACAGTGTAAATTAAGATTATTGTTAGAGTATTAAATTTGACAGTAAAATAGTTGTCAAGTTTTCAAGTTAATTAAATTTGGATAATTTGAAATAAGTAATTATTCAAGAAATATTAACCAAAATTTTCATTTAGTGGTAAAATTGCTTAACATGCAATGAACCTAAAGCAGTCATATTTTTGTGCAAAAAATTAACATTTAAAGTTATCTAGACTGCATTATAAATTTTCCAAAAATCCTCCTAATAATTAAATCAAAAAAGATGGGAAAGTGGAAAAATATAGTGGAAAAATGCCATGTAAGGAAATAGATCCTGTAACTAAATTACATTTAGATAAAATTTTTCGTTTATAATGCTAATAGCGAGACACCCAGAAAAACACACATGATGCCAGGGAAAGCCAGGGGAAGATCATTTTAAAGAAAAGACCCCAAGTAAGGTTTCCTTTATTAACCTTTTGTCAAGAATACATTTGTATACTTTCAGAGAACAGCTCCTAGACCATGTGGATTCCTGCAACAACGGATCCCAGAGAGAAACTGACCAAATTGCTCCAGCCACAAAGACAGGAGAGACAATTCAGAGATGGAGACAGTGAAGACGCCTTGCCATGCTAGCAGTCAGCAGCTGTGCGTCACTGCAGGTTGCCCAGGACCAAACCAGAGAGGACCGGACCTGCATTACCACCATTTGTCCACTATCCAGAACCAGCATTTCATTGCTGGCATGAACCCATGAACTGTCGGAAATTGAAACTTGGACTCAGAACTATTGGACATTGAAATTGGGACTTGTTCTTATATTTCTGGTCTACAGATACTTGATTTTTTAAAGAAAAAATAAGGGGGAGATGCCAGAGTCTATTTATTGCCTTCACTAGCTGAGTATAGACAGAGACCCCCAAAAGTTAGTAACCTTTGAAGCCCTAGCAAAGTTCAGGGCTGTGCACCACCCAGTTAATCTAGATAATGATAGCTGAAGCATCATCCCCACCTTAGTTCACTTAATTCCTTAGATACTTATGTAAATCCTTGTTGATTATTGTTGATTAGATATTCTGCCTATTCCTGGAAATTGTCTGCTGATGAACTAATCTGTGTGTCATTGAAATCTCCTTACCTAAGGGCTACTCCAGCTCAATAAAAGATTGGAGTGGCCTGAGCATCAGTGGAAGTCCTTCTGGACTTGCCCGCCTGGTCCCCCAATATTTCCAAATTATCTCGTATCATTTCTCTCTCATTTGTGTGTGGCTCCTCTTTTCAGATCCCGAACCCTAATCCACGCAGGACGTGGAAGGAAACACACACGACACCCAAGGATATTTTTCCATTAAATTTTAGAGAGAGTGAAGGGAAAGGGAGAGACACATTGATTGGTTGCCTCCTGCACATGCTTTGCTAGGGACTGGGGATCAAGCCAGCAACTGAGGTACATGCCCTTGACTGGAATCGAACCTGGGACCCTTCAGTCCACGGGCTAATGCTCTATCCACTAAGCAAAACAGGCTGCAGCTTAATTCATTTACTTTTAATCTATATGTATCTTTATATTTAAAGTGAGTTTTGTTTTTGATTCACCCTCATGATCTGACTTTTAATTGGTGCATTTATGCCACTGACTTTCAAAGTGCTTACTGATAGAGTTACTACCATATCAGGCGGCTTCTGCGGCTTCTGGGGCGGGCGTGCCTTGCTGCTGGGGACCCGCCGATCTCGGGTCCAGGGGCGGCAAGGCACGGCCGGCTGCTGGGGCTTTCTGGGGCGGGCCTGCCTTGCTGCTGGGGACCCGCCGATCTTGGGTCCTGGGGCGACCAGCCTGCCCTGGATGGCAGCGCGCTGGCGGTTCACGCTGTCCCGCCCTGCCTGCAGTATGCAAATTAGCCTCCATCTTTGTTGGCGGTTAATTTGCATATCATGCCGATTAGCCAATGGGAGGCGTAGTGAAGGTATGGTCAATTACCATGTTTGTCTATTATTAGATAGGATATATGTATATGTATATATATATTTAAAACAAACAAAACAACAAGAACAAAACACCTCAACAAAGGAGAGCTCTAACATTACTGTGCCTGACTCCTGGCTTGCAGCACTCAGGGCTCACAAATCCTATGAGGTTCACGGACATCGGGGACTCATATAATGGACTGATGGATCTGTTGTATGGTGCAGGAACTGCAGACCAAACCTGGGTTCAGCAACCTCCATACTTGGGTTCTGGCTAGGAAATGATTCAGAACCCAAACCAAACTCTAAGAAAGCATATATTTGGAAAATCATAGAGATGCAGAAAAACTAATTCCTCAAAGAAATGGGCAACTGTCCGCTGAAGAGGGCCTTTTGCAGTCCGCAGGGCTTAATAATAAACTTCTGGCAGCAACTCTTGAGATTAATAGCCACCATCAGTGTTGCAGTTTCCTGAAAAATGAGTAACAGACTAGTCATTTAGTCACACTTTGTTTTGAGATGCACAGTTCTTTTCTTTCTTAAGATTTCTATAGGTAAACCATTCTGAATCTCCAGTCAGTTTTTTTATTATTATTATTAGTGGACTGGAGCACAGATTTGTGCCTATTTCCCTTGTGATGAAGTATTTACAACTTTAACATCACACGAACTTGAGAGAAAGCAATATATAACTGACCATGTCTGAAAACGGGTTCAGGTATTTCTACTCTGTCTGGAGTTTGTCCTTGTGATTTATTAATAGTCATCACAAATGCTGACATCATAGGAAACTGTCTTTGAATTAATTTAAATGGGAGTCCAGTGTCAGATGGGGCAAATCAATTCTTGGAATCAGAACAACCTCTCCTTCCACAGATCCTGTTAATACTTCAGCTTCGATTATGTTAGGTTGCAATCTTTTTTTTTTTTTAATATATTTTATTGCTTTTTTACAGAGAGGAAGGGAGAGGGATAGAGAGATAGAAACATCGATGAGAGAGAAGCATCAATCAGCTGCCTCCCGCACACTCCCTTCTGGGGATGTGCCTGCAACCAAGGTACATGCCCTTGACCAGAATCGAACCTAGGACCCTTCAGTCCCCAGGCCGACGCTCTATCCAGTGAGCCAAACCGGCTAGGGCAGGTCGAAATCTTTTGATAATAAATCTCCTACCATTACAAAGACCCTATTTACTATTAAGATTTCTCAGTAGCATGATGATTGCACCTACTTTCAATTTTAATTTATGAAGGAGTAATACTATTCAGAAATTTGATGGGCTCCCTCGCAGTGTACTCAGGTGGGACCAGGAACTCGCTCGCCATGTCCACAGCAGAGGCGGGGGTTGTTTTCCACAGAGCCCAGGGCAGGACCCTGGACGCGTTTCCTGAAGAACAGAAAAGGGACCAGAAAAGCCCATTCTACTTCATCCAGGGTGCAGACCCACAATTTGGACTGATGAAGTCCTGGTCCACTGGGGACTGTGACAATGGTGAAGATGAGTGGGGGCAGGAGATTTGTCTAACTGAGCAAGCCATTCAGGCCATCAACAAGCTGAACCCCAAGCCCAGATTCTTTGTTCTGTGTGGGGACCGCATTCATGCCATGCCAGGGATGCCCTGGCGGAAGGAGCAGACGAAGGACCTGTAGCGGGTGCTCAGGAACATGGACAGCGACATCCCACTGGTCCCGGTCAGTGGCAACCACGACATGGGCAACGGCCCCACGCCTGAGACCATGGCAGAGTTCCAGGAGACTTGGGGAGACGACTATTTCAGCTTCTGGGTCGGGGGCGTCCTGTTCCTCGTCCTCAACTCCCAGTTTCTGTACGACGCCTCCAGGTGCCCTGCCCTGAAGCAGGCCCAGGACCAGTGGCTGGACCAGCAGCTGAGCGTGGCGGGCAGCAGAAGTGCCAGCGCGCCATCGTCTTCCAGCACATCCCCCTCTTCCTCCAAAGCATCGACGAGGACGAGGACTACTTCAACCTCACCAAGCCCGTGCGGAAGGAGATGGCAGACAAGTTCGCCAAAGCAGGTATCAAAGCTGTGTTCTCAGGCCACTACCACAGGAATGCTGGGGGTACCTACCGGAACCTCGATGTCGTGGTGTCATCTGCCATCAGACACACTAAAAACCTGAGATCAAGGGGAGCCAGTGGTTTAAGTCTGGTTCCAAGGCCAAGGCTCAAGAACCAGGAATGCCGAAGTCTTAGGACAGAAGATAAATGTCCCAGCTTACTCAGAGAAGGTAAATTTACCCTTTCTCCACCTTTCTGTTCTGTCTGGACCTTCTGAGGATTGGATGGTGCCCACTGCATTGGTGAGGGTGGGCTTCACTCACTCTATGGGTTCAAATGAGAATCTCTGCCAGAAACACTCCCACAGACATACCCAGAAACAATGTTTTACCAGCTGTCTGAGCACCACTTAGTCTGCCAGGTTGACACATATAATTAACCATCACAGACCCCTTCATCTCTGAGTTTCATCCTCATAACCACCCCATGTGGGAAGCCACTCTGTGCTCTCTTTACCATTCACAGACCCAGAGCGCCCTGGACTGCTTTTGTCCAGACCTGCAGGCCCAGTTTGCTCGTTTCTCCTTAGGCAATAAGTCCCGCCCAGGGTCTCCTTCTTGGGTGTTTCCCTCCAAGACTGACAGCCGGACCAAAAGGACTCATTAAAACCCTGGGAAATGGATGCTCGGAGTGGTGCAGGTCACAGGAGAGCGTGGATCTGGATTGCCCCCATTTCTGCCTTCCCGCCCCAGGAATTCTTCATGTTGCTTTAAGATTCTGCTCTCAGATGTCTCAGGATTTTCCTTTGGGTCCTCTGTAATGGGATGGGGATGGGGTTTGGGGTGAGGAAATACTTTGACCTAACTTCAGAAAAGACTAGAGTCCCATCTCCTCTTCCCCTTGAGAGAAAACCCAACAGTCCAGCCTTGGTTAAGTGGAAAACCCAGTCCAGGACATTACTGAGATTCCCTGCTCTGCACTGTCCAATATGGTAGCTACTCGCTATGTTGGCTATTTATATTTAATTATTTAAAATTAAATAAAATTAAAAATTTAGTTCCTCAGATGTACTAGTCACATTTCAAGTGCCCAATTGTCCCATGAGAGTGCTGGCTGCCATTTTGGACAGCTCAGAACACAATCATTTCTATCACTGCTACCCTAGACCCAGAAGCTCCCAACACCCCCTCCCAAGGCAGGAACCACTGAACAACCTCACTCCACAGGGAGGCCGGGCTTGGCCTGGCCATAAAGGAGAGGTGGCTGGGTCAGTGTTTGACTTTAGGAGATCTATGAAGGATTCCATTCCTGCCTCCCTTTCACAGAATAAAGGGTCTTTTGTCATCCACCCTAAACCTTTCACATGTACAATGCTAGAGGATCTAAAAATGCTCAGGGTTCCCAATAAATGCCAATTTAAAATCTTTGCAGTCATTTGAGAAAGTGAATGAGTCTGGACAACAAATTCTTTTGTAATTTAAAAGATGCCCTAATCTTTTCTTTCAACAGAATTTAAGGAGGACTTAACCCAGTTGTCATTGTTGAAACTCTATTGATTTATAGAAACAAGGTTTTCCAGGTTAGCTATAAAAATTGGGGGAGCCCTAGTCGGTTTGGCTCAGTGGAGAGAGCATCAGCCTGTGGACTGAAGGGTCCCGGGTTTGATTCCAGTCAGGGGCACATGCCCGGGCTCAATCCCCAGTACGGGGCGTGCAGGAGGCAGCCAATCAATAATTCTCTCTCATTGATGTTTCTATCTCTCTTTCCCTCTCCCTTCCTCTCTGAAATCAATAAAAATATCTTTTTTAAAAATGGGGGGGGCGGGGAAATAGCATTGGGACTAAGCCCAGACTCCTCCAGCAGTAAGTAATATGTATCCATCTAAAGATAGAGGCTGGCTGACAGCAGCTGCCCTCTCACTGCAACCGGACTTGTTTCCCATTTCTACCTTGGACCACAGGGAAAGGGGCAGCTGAAGGAAAGGGCTGCGTCAGGATGCTGCCTTCTTCCCTTTCCTCTCCCTCTTTTTTCTAAACACTTCCATGCCTTGTAGTTCTTTCGCTTTCTCTTCTTTTTCTCTCTATTACCCTCCATCTCCGCCTCATCCTCCTCCCTGGTATCATCCATATTGGACGACCCAGAGGGCACAGCTGACTCCTCCCCAGACACCGACACCACCATCAAGCACGGCCCTGATGGACCATTTGATGCAGCCCTTCAACTCGCTGACACTTCGGGAAGCCTGTCGCCAATGACGCCACCCGCTAGCCAGATCAATAAGGACAACCAAACCACCGACTTGAGGACAGCTGAAATCCCTTGACTGAAGAGGCCAGCAATCTTCTACAGGAACAAGGCTCCTTGTGCACTCGATCCACTATGTTTATAGCTATGCTCGCTATCATTGCTTGTCAGTCTTCTTCCGAGTCTTAAACAACCCAATCCGAGAGGTGGCCGCTGATTTACATGCGCTATCATTTAAAAAATAAAAAAGGGGGAATTTGCCGGAAGCCGGTCCATCCTTGCTGCTTAACACAGTCGCTGCAGGGAAGAAACATCTGCACAGCATATGTTTCAAGGGACCTGGTGTAAATGGCATACTGTTCTTAATATGTTTGCTCTCCTTCTTGGTGCTATGTGTTTTAACCAAGGTCACCTCTCCCAGAAAGGTTGTTTCCCCAGGTAGGGATTTTTCCCTGAAGTTAGGGAGGGAATAAAACCCCTTAACTAAATGCCAGGCGGGTAGTTAATCACTTTAACTACGAACAATCACCCTTAAGCTACATAATCTTTACTCCCTGGAATGGAGATAAGAAATGCCCTCACCTTTAGAATAGAAATTGACAGGATTAAAATCAGCTGGTATAAATACAGATGTAACAAGACAATAAAAAACAGAACGTGGCTGGAGATCCTGGCTAGAGATCCTGGCTAGGCTGCTGATCAACTGAACGTTGTCTTCGTGTCATTCCTTCTTCGCCGACTCTGTCCACACCTTTGGGGACCACTGGACCTGCTGGGGTTGGACCCCAACAAGGATCCCACATCCAAGATTGCCATGGTCGGCAAAGAGAGATGTCGCTGAGGAGCTTACCGGAGGCAAGGGGATTCTAAAGAACAAGTCTACTTCAATAAATGAAGGAGAATAAAGAAAATTCAAGCCCTTCAGTAACCTCAGCAAACCTGGACCACACAAAACCATGTTGGTACTGGGATAAGAAAGACTTGGCTCATACACCCTCTCAGCTAGAAGGACTTGACCCAGCCACTGAGGCCCGGTACCGCCGAGAGGGGGCTCGGTTCATCTTTGATGTGGGCACACGTTTGGGACTACACTATGATACCCTGGCAACTGGAATAATTTATTTTCATCGCTTCTATATGTTTCATTCCTTTAATCAATTTCCAAGATATGTAACAGGAGCTTGTTGTCTCTTTCTGGCTGGGAAAGTAGAAGAAACACCCAAAAAATGTAAAGATATCATCAAAACAGCTCGTAGTTTATTAAATGATGTACAATTTGGCCAGTTTGGAGATGACCCAAAGGAAGAAGTAATGGTTCTGGAGAGAATCCTACTACAGATTATAAAGTTTGATTTACAGGTAGAACATCCATACCAGTTCCTACTCAAATATGCAAAGCAACTCAAAGGTGATAAAAACAAAATTCAAAAGTTGGTTCAAATGGCATGGACATTTGTAAATGACAGTCTCTGCACGACCTTGTCACTTCAGTGGGAACCAGAAATCATAGCAGTGGCAGTGATGTATCTCGCGGGACGTTTGTGCAAATTTGAAATACAAGAATGGACCTCCAAACCCATGTATCGGAGATGGTGGGAGCAGTTTGTGCAAGATGTCCCTGTGGATGTTCTGGAAGATATCTGCCACCAAATCCTGGATCTTTACTCACAAGGAAAACAACAGATGCCTCATCACACGCCTCATCAGCTGCATCAGCCCCCATCGCTCAACCCCACACCACAAGTGCCACCAGTGCCACCATCACAGTCGGCTCCAGGCCCTGAACCACCGCAGCCCCCACAGAAGGACCCGCAGCCATCAACCCAGCCGCTGCCACCACGACAGCAAGTCAAGCAGCCCAAGAAACCGTCCCCACAGCCTAGTCCCCCCCGCCAGGTGAAGCGAGCCATGGTTGTTTCTCCCAAAGAAGAGAACAAAGCAGCAGAATCACCACCACCTAAAATTCCCAAAATAGAGACCACTCACCCTCCATTGCCTCCGGCCCACCCACCACCAGACCGGAAGCCTCCCCTCGCGACTGCCTTAGGTGAGGCTGAGCCACCAGGCCCTGTGGATGCCAGTGATCTCCCCAAAGTCCAGGTTCTTCCTCCGGTCCACCCTGTGCACCAGCCACCACCGCTGCCACACTGGCCACCGCCACCCTCCAGCTACATAACCGGGATGTCCACCACCAGCTTCTACATGTCTGGAGAGGGCTACCAGAGCCTGCAGTTCATGATGAAGACCCAGTGCCCCTCCTACAGTGCCCTGCCCCCTGCCTACGGGCCTCCAGCCTACATGCCCTACCACCATGTCTACCCCCCCAACCCACCCCAACCACTGGTGCCCCCTCTCCCAGCCTCCTTCCCCGCACCTGCCATCCCACCCCCAACTCCCGGGTACCCTCCACCTCCACCCACCTACCACCCAAACTTCCCGCCCCCACCCCCACGCTTGCCCCCCACCCATGCCGGTCCACCTCACCCTCCAGGCCTGGGCCTGCCTCCAGCTAGCTACCCACTTCCATCTGTCCCCCCTGGAGGACAGCCACCTGTGCCCCCACCCATCTCCCCACTGGGCATGCCTCCAGTCGGGGGTCTGGGGCGTGCAGCCTGGATGAGATAACCTGATGCCTTTTTTCCCCCTTTGTTTTTTTAACAAGTTTTTCTAGTTACCTTGAAGGGTAGTTGAAGTGAGGAAGCAGCAGGGTACCTTGTATAATGCTGGACAGTTGCAGTGTGGGAAGACATGGACCAGACCTGGGAGATGGATCAAATGGTCCTCCAGGCCCGGAGTGGGGACAGTCTCGGCAGTGCCCGGGCCGCCCAGCTGTGCTGGTGTCGGCTGAGGGCCGCGTCCTGCACTGGGTGACTATACTAGTGAAAATGTTAACCAGCCATATTGGCTCAATAAATAGCTTCTGTAAGGAGTGAATTTCCTTCTAGAAATCAGTGCCTATTTTTCCTGGATATGCAGTTTTAAACAGTCCAGTTCCATCTGAAGTCAAGCTGTCGTCATCACTTCCATTCCGTGTTCTCTTCCATGACACCCAGTCGGTCAGAAGAACCTTTTTGATTTAGAGATATTTACATCTTTGTATTAAAGTTATTTTGAAGGGGAAAAAATGCAGTTCCAATAAAATGACACATTTATCTACACTAATAAAAGACAAACATGCAAATTGACTGTACCTTCACTGTGCCTTAAGCCATGCCCATCAGCCAATCAGAGCGACTATATGCAAATTAACCCAACCAAGATGGCGGCCGGCAGCCACGGAGCTGGAGCAAGCAGGAGGCTTGATTGCCCCAATGATGGAGGAAGCCAAGCTTCCCTCCTGCCGCAGCGGCTCTGAGCTCCTCTCAAGGCTACAAAGTTTCAATTATAGGAGGTAAATAAATCCCAGAATAAAAAAGAAAAAAAGGAAAGGCTGGGAATTTCCATCGCCAGAGGGCTTGGCCAGCCTGAAAACGGCCCTCAGCCCCTCACCCAGACTGGCCAGGCACCCCAGTGGACCCCCCACCCTAAAGGGGGTGTGGCCAGCCTGAAAACAGCCATCAGCCCCTCATCCAGGCTGGCCAAACCTCCATGGGGTGAGGATCCCCACTGGGGGGGGGGGCTTGACCAGCCTTCAAACATCCATCAACCCCTCACCCAGGCTTGCCAGGCACCCCAGTAGGGACCTCCACCCTGAAGAGGGTGTGACCAGCCTGCAAACAGCCATCAGCCCCTCACCCAGGCTGGCCAGGCACCCCAGTAGGGACCCCCATCCTGAAGGGGCTGTGACCAGCTGCAAACAGCCATCAGCCCCTCACCCAGGCTGGCCCAGGCACCCCAGTGGGACCCCCACCCTGATCCGGGACACCCTTTCAGGGCAAACCAGCCAGCCCCAACCCATGCACCAGGCATATAATAAAAGGGTAATATGCAAATTTGACCCTAACAGCAGAATGACTGGGAATGACTGGTCACTATGACACACACTGACCACCAGGGGGCAGACGCTCAATGCAGGAGCTGCCCTCTGGTGGTCAGTGCGCTCCCACAGGGGAGCTCTGCTCAGCCACAAGCCAGGCTGACGGCTGCCAGCACAGCAGTGATGGCGGGAGCCTCTCTCGCCTCCTCAGCAGCGCTAAGGATTTCCGACTGCAGCTTAGGCCTGGTCCCCGCTGGCAAGTGGACATCCCCTGAGGGCTGCCGGGCTGCCAGAGGGATGTCTGACTGCCAGCTTAGGCCCGATCCCCCAGGGAGCAGGCCTAAGCCAGCAGGTGGACATCCCCCGAGGGGTCCCAGACTGCGAGACAGCACAGGCTGGGCTGAGGGACCGCCCCCCCCAAGTGCACAAATTTTTGTGCACTGGGCCTCTAGTGTTTAATAATTATCAAAATGTATTTATATTAATAGAGCATGTACTACAAATAATTGTAATGATAAGTTAGTCCAGAAGAAAAACATTAATGCATAGAAATTTAAGTTCAAAGAATGTGGGACAAGTTTTAAAATTCAACTAATGTACTTATTTTGTCATCAAAAATATGATTGAGTGCCCTGGTCAGTATGGCTCAGTTGGTTGGGTGTCATACCATGCCAGTTTGATTACAGGTCAGGGCTCATGCCCAGATTTTTTACTCAATCCCTGGAACGGGGAGGGGGGTGTACAGAAGGCAGCTGATTGATATTTCACTCTCACATTGATGTTTCTCTCTCTCTTTCTCTCCCTATCTAAAATATATATATATATATGATTGAATAATCAATAAAGCACTTGCGGGTATAAAAATATATTTGTATTTGCCGAAACCGGTTTGGCTCAGTGGATAGAGCGTCAGCCTGCGGACTGAGAGGTCCCGGGTTCGATTCCGGTCAAGGGCATGTACCTTGGTTGCGGGCACATCCCCAGTAGGAGATGTGCGGGAGGCAGCTGATCAATGTTTCTCTCTCATCGATGTTTCTAACTCTCTATCTCTCTCCCTTCCT